AGGCAACACAAATAAAAAAAAAAAAAAAAAAAGCCTACCTAAAAAAAAAAAAAAAAAAAAGCCTACATATATGAAAATGGATAGAGTATTTGTTTAGTATACAGGTGAGTGTCTAGAAGGATGAGTATTCGGTTCAATCAATTCGATTAATTCTGTCAATTTAGTTCGGTGAATAAATGTTCAGTTAAAAAAAAATTAAATTTTAGATTATCGCTTAAAGATTCAGTTAAAAGTTAATTTAACTGAATTAATCAAATTAACTGACTCTCAAAACTATGTCGTTTTGATTAAGTAGATAATAAAATTAAAAATTATAAATGTTTTTATTTTTTATTTTAATTAAGTAGTTGTTAATAAGTTCGGTTAATTTTTATTTTAGTTAAAAGTCGGTTAATCATAAATTCGATCGATTAATTAAATTTTCATTTTCTTTAAGTTTGGTTCAATTAATGATTAAAATTGATTCAACCAAAACGGTTCAGTTAAGTTCGGGTTAAAAAATTAGTTCTGTTAATTTATTTCAATTAAGAATATTACTCAAATTGACTGAATTGGCAAATGCTTATCCCTAAATGTCTATATCGAGTATAAGAAATATTTTCCTTAAAAGTGAATTCGTTTTGCCGTTTCAACAGTATATTTTTATTTCAAAACGATTGATTTTTCATTTTGTATTTGTTGTAAAAATATAAAAATTAGATTTTTTTTAATTTTTATTTTTATTGATCATGGAATACATTGGAAGTACATATTGTTAACTGGATGAAAAATCTATAACTTTATATGCATATACTAATAAGTAATGTTTTTCAAATATGAAAATGAAAATAAACTCATTTTAACCCTGAAAGCTATTCCTATTGGAGGGATGAAGCTTTAAACTTTTTAAACATGTAAGTTAAGGAAAAGACACAATGATTAAGTCACATTAAAACTTATTTAAAAAAAAAATCTTTTAATGTATTATATTGTTTACTTATACAACGTGTTATATCATAATTATATGTTTTATATATATATATATATTTATATTTTTTATATATATATATTTATATTGGAATATTTTTTATTTTATATTAAATAATAAGTCTCTATAACATATTTTTTAATTAAATAATTTATTATTTATTTTTTAAAACTAAATTACTTGTTAAGAAATATATTATAATCACATGAAATAAAAATTTTATTTAAAAAATAATAATTTAAACAGGTTATATTCTTACCATATTTAATATGTACCTTTTAGTATAATCTATATTAATTAAAATTTAAATATTTTATCTTTTTAGCCAATAAAATAATTTTACATATATTATAACATATTCTTACTATATTTTTATATAACTTTATAATAATATGATTAATTTTTTATTTTATTCAAATAAAATTTAGATTTAGTATATAATATTAATTTCTTAATTATCACCATTTAATAATTTAAATTTAAATAAAAAATTATAAGACAAATTTCAAAATTAATATCTTCATTTCTAACAAATAAATATTAAAATCTAAAAATATTATATCTTACCATATCTAAAATATATCTTATTTTAATATATAATATAAATTTATTTTATCCAATATATATATCTTATATAATATATAATATAAATTTTATTTTATCCAATATAATTTAAATTTAAATAAAAAATTAATATCATCAATTAAAACTATTTTTATCAATACATAAATTTAATAATCCCAACATTTTCAACCTATTTCACTTTTATATATAGTTATAGTTATATTTTAAAGTACCATAATTTCTTGTGAAACCAACAATAATTAATAGTAATAATAAAAAAGAACAAGTATAATAAAAAGTTGCATGCGAGTATGCCACGCGTTCTCCAAAGCAAAGAAAAAGACCAAGACCGAGTCAAGGATCATGAGTACCATGTGCTGCTTCTCCTTTCAATGCTCCTTTTAACTTCTACTTCACATTTCCTTCTTCGATTCTTTTCTATAAATAAATAATTTTACTCATATGGCCCCCACCACTCTCACTCTCATAGTAACACGTCTTTTGCAATCTCCCTTTTAACATGTGTATTCATTAATGTTTAATTTTTCCTATATTTTTTAAAGCTAATAGGCATATACCGGGTCTACAGAGTCACTTGTAAATAATAATAAATAAAATAACTAACGGCTATTACAATAATAATTAATATTCCTGAATAAGGTCGGTATCTTTCCATTAATAGTTATTTTCTCTATTATTTCTTTTGTCTCAAAAAGATAATTCATCTTTTTTTTGGTTTGTCTTAAAATATAGTCCATTTTCATTTTTTACATTATAGTTAATCCTTAAATTATCTATTATATCCTTATTAAATTTTATCTTATTTTCAATAACTCCCATTAATTCTTAGTTATTTTTTCAATATAATAATTACTCAGATATTATTTAAAATGTGCATAATAAGAATGTTAGATGAATAAAATTATCCGTTAACCATATTTCTTAATCTGTGTAAAAATAGAAAGTGGATTATCTTTTTTGAACGGAGAACGGAGGAAGTGTATATTTGGGTGCTACATAAATAAAAAATTGACATTTAACTGTATTAATTATTAATTGTCAATTCCAACTCAACCAATTAAGTGGCTATTTCTTTCTCAAACAACAGCCATCAATTTTTTTTTTAATTTAGTATACTACTCTTATTTATTAGGTGTTTTGTGGCAAAATTTAATGGAGAGCTTTTAATTTTAAGAAGGGCAATTTAGATATTTTACAATATATTTTTAGAAAATCAATGTGTTGCTAATTATTTTCTTAATTCTTGTAAAAAGATTAAATGTTCTATTAAAGTAGAATAAAGAGGCTAACTTTTAACGTTTAGCGTTTAACTTTTAATTAAAATTTTTTTGACAAGCTTACTCATTATTTTTTTTTTCTCCAAATTAGCTGATTAAACAATTAATGTCATTTTCATTTTTTTGTCCTTTTAAATCAAACAGCTAATTAAATAAAATATTTTTAATTTAAACCGTTATATAAACAGCTAACAGCTAATAGAACAATCAATAATTATTACAAAATTTAACAATTAATATTACTAAATAGACTTCGATTATAAAAAATACAAAACTTCGGTTGTTTGATTTTGCAGTACATTGCATCCCCGCCCTAATGCACACCCCTAGTTAGTGCCTATATATACTATTTGACACATGGTATTCATGCTTATTGCTTAATTAGTGAATCATTTTATTTTTTTTGCTCAAATATAATGCTTGATTAGGCACTAAGCATCCCCTTTTCCCACTTCCCACTTTCTTTTTTCTCTTAAAATAACAATGGAGTTTGGTTTAGGTAAGATTCAATAAGAAAAAGAAAAGTTTAATACCTAAAATTTAGATTTCAAATATCCAAAAAAAAAAAAAAATCTCTAATGATACTAACAAAAATTAAATTATTTTGTTCTCCTTTTCCATAAAAAAAGTATTTCCTTTTTTTAATTATGCATTTCATGATAATCTTCGTACCAACTATTTGTCTTTAAACTAGATTAAGTAGATAGATATGATAAAAGGAATATAAAAAAATTGCACCAAATCATACCATAATATATATAAAAAAACAAATGTTTTTATAATAAAAAATGATTTAAAAAAGAATATATTAAGTGTTCTTCCAAAGAGAATAAAAGAGAGTTTTATAGCTAAGAATAAAGCCGGGCATTAATTACCGGGTGGAAAATACTAAACAATTAGCTCCTTATTTTATACTATTTCTGTTCCATTTTTTTTATCTTCTCACAATGATTAAAAAAATGATTGGAACATATTGATTTTTTTAAAATATATAATAGAATATCTAAATTGCCCTTAAAATTAAAAGCTTTCCATTTAATTTTGTTATAAAATTGTACCTAATATATATGGATAAAATTGAAAAAAAAATATAGTCTTGAAATTCTCAATACAAAACGGTAAAATGTTCATTTGTTACTATTAAAGTGGAATCGGGAGTCACCGTCTAAGTAGAAAATTGCTGACAAATCATTAATAAATTACAATTAGATCCTTATTTTATTGTAATTAAATCCCTGATAATAAATGCAGTTTATCAATATGAATATAACATACCATGCAACATTTATTTCTTTTAGCAGAATTCTTTTTTCTTTTTAAAGACAAGATTGTGATACTTCAAATTTATTATTTCCTCATATGAATGTGTACTGAGCTCAATGGTTTTATAAATGTGGATATATGAAATAATTTATCTCTTCCATTTTACAAATCAATAAAAAATTATAATCTTTTTCGTAATTATCAAATGTTATTATTTCTATTCATTTAATCTGCCATTAACATTTTTGTATGGTAATTAGAGAACTAATTAAATCATTTAAATTATAATAAAAAATTTTAATTTAACTAAATTACTCTTTTGGGCTTATCTAATGACTCATTTCTAATAGGTGATGAAATTTCAAGTAAAAATTTGACTCTTCAATTATAATTATAGAAAACAAATTTGATTCTCTAAAGATAGAGTATAAAACAAAACCAAAATTAGCGTAAATAAAATAAACAACAGTAAATTTTCCAGCTGTAATTTTATTTTTCACCCACACCACCATAAAAAAAAAAACAAACAGTCAAACACATTCACCCACGAATTTCCCTCCTTTAAAAATCCAAAATTAAATGAATAAAAAAAAACCATCAATATTCTTTTTTAAACAGATCAAGAAAAAACGCAAAAGCTTCCAATTTCTTTCTCCGTTTCTTCGCCGCTTCAGGTCGCAACCACCCCCACCAGCTTGATAACGCTCTTCACCGTCATTTTCTTTGCTTTTTCCTGCTCTTTCTTTCCTTTTTATCCTCCTTCCAAACTCAAACTCATATAATCTTTCTTTTTCAACTTCACTTCTTTGAAAAAAGGAAAGCAAAAAAAAAAAAAAAAAAAAAAAAAAAAAAAAAAAAAAAAAAAAAGAAAGGACTATCTTGCTTTGAATTGCGAAATCAATAATAATCAACCAAAAAAAAAAAAAAAAAAAAAAAAAAAAAAAAAAAAAAGAAAAGGACTCATCTTGTTGAATTGCGAAATCAATAATAATCAACCATGCCTCTGCCGTGGAAGAAGGCAAAGGTTTCAAGAATTTCTCGTCTTGTCGCTGATCTCCAGCAACCAAAATCCGGTAAATCGCTGGTGGTGGAAACCGGTTTCCCTACTTCTCTTGTTGATCTATTTGTCAAAAACCGTGACAGATTAAAAAAACCCAGTAAGAAAAAGAAGATACAACAACAGCAACAGCAGGAAAGGGCGGTGGTTGAAGGGGAGTTTTTAATTTCCGATTCGATACCCGTATCAAACTCTCGAGATTTGCCTCCGGCCGAATCGATTTTTATCGATGACAGCGAGTTTGAATGGCCGGAGAATTTTTCCGTTCACCAGAAAAATGTCGAGAAAAGTGGAGAAGAAACTGTGGTGGATGAAGAAATAAATCGCGATTCTAACAAAGGTATTAAAGAGTGCGGCGGCGCCACCGGCGGTGGTTTGGAGAATAATATCGAGTCTAATAGAAAAGATAAACGAGCATTAATAGCAATTTTGAAGATTTTTCCTGTTGTGATTTTATCTATGAGCACGAAAAGATTAGCAGTTGGGATAACAATGTCGGCTTTTCTTCTAATTTTTCTTGAATGTATTACGAAACGTTTCCTGTGTTGCTCATTGGAAAAACCATCTTGGTCTGCACTGAAGGGGGAAAATTTCTTCTGTTGGTTATTGAAACAATTTTGGTCTGCGAAACTGGCTTTGCAAGGTTTAATCCAAAGGGGTTTTGCCTTATCTAGAAAGGAAGAGATGGTGGTGATGAAGGAGAAGAATGAAGTTGAACGAATTGTGTTCGATAGTTTTGATTTCGATAAGAGTCGTGAATACTTTGATCAGGATCTTGAACGGAAAAATGTAATTCAAACAAGAAGAAGTGTATCAGAGAGGAAAGAGGAAAATCAAAAAATTTTAGAGTCAGTGAATAGTGATAGAAAATGGGGAGTTGTGGAAGCGGATGAAGGGAATAGCCAAAGCTTTAAAATGAAAAGAAAAATCCTTCAGAGATTAATGCCAAAGAGATTGAGGACCTTAAAGAAAGGAAGGAAGGGGAAAGAAAGGGAAAATGATTTGGGCAGTGAAACATCCAGTGGTTGCGGAGGAGGAGATGATAGAAGTCGTCGAAATAGTCTTAGTAGACTAGATTCGGAGGGGAGAGCGAGAAGCACATTATTGAAGTTGTTAGAAGAAGAAAAACAAGACGAAATTGAAAATTGTGTGACAGAAGGGAAACAAGAATTCAGAAATGATGAATTTGATAGAGGAATGTGTAGGATGGAAGAAAACGAAGCATTTGAACATAGAATTTCCACATCTAGTATTGGATTGCAGACTAAGTCAGAAATGATTGTAGTTGAAGAAAGAGTGGATATTGAAAGAGGTGGAAAATCAGGTTATTTGATTCTGTTTCTCATTGTTCTTGCTGGACTTTTGGGGGGTCGAATGCTAGCGCTTGTGATTACAGTTGCATCCTGTTCGATGCTAAAATTGGTGTGGAGAAGAAGGAAATGTATAAATGAGACTCCATCAATGTCAAGTTAGGATTTTTCTCTTGGCAGGGCGTTTCTGGAGATCTTTTTTCTGCGTGATGTTGTTGTCCATGTTTTGCAGCTGGTGGGGAGTGTGTTCTTCGAGTCATAATTGTAAGGAATATTCAACCTTCATTGTTGGATTTCCCACTCGAACTGTTGTAACCTGAAATGTAAATTTATAAACAAAAATTCACAGATATTATTAACACTACATTACTCAGAATTTGAATATCGATCATGTTGTTGCTGTAACTTTAGTTTTTGGTTTGAATACAACTGCAGAATTCAAATGCTGTTGTTAGCTATATTTGGTTTCAAGACCTGTCTCTGTAATTGCTCTGTTCTATTGCAGTTACATACGCAGGCCTCTTGAAACCAAAATATGCGAAATCTTTACATAAAACAACTTGTTCATCAACAATTTTTCATCAGTTCATTTCTCATGATAGAACCTTTTAATTTTTAATCTTCACCTGATCGATATTTGTATTAGATCACGACTTTAGCTCACGGAACTGAAGCCAGGATTCTTTCTTGTTTTTAACTCTTTCATCATTCTCCTTGTCTTTGCGACTCGCTCCCATTGACCGGCCACAGCATGAAAGTTAGATAACAAAACATGAGTTTCATGGCTATGAGACTTCAACTTAACCATTTCATATGCAACCTTCTCTCCAACCTCAAATTCAGAGTACTTAATGCAAGCACTTAGCAAAATTTTATAAGCTGTGAATCTTTCCTCAGGAAGCAACAACTTAACAAATTCTTCTGCCTGATATAATAACCCTGCCCTGCTCAATAGATCAATTAAACAACCAAAGTGTTCATTCTTTGGTTGTAACGAATAAACCTCAACCATCTTTTTAAACAATTGAGAACCTTCATTAACAAATCCCGAATGGCTGCAACCGGTTAAAACAGAGACAAATGTTGCTTCATTTGGCTGGATTCCTTCTTCTTCCATTCGCATAAAAAATTTCATAGCTTCATTTCCATAACCATTATTTGCAAGCCCTTCTATCATTGCAGTCCAAGTAAAAACATCTCTATATTCCATTTTATAGAAAATAACCAATGCCTCCTCTACACTCCCACACTTGGAATACATATCAATTAAAGCTGTTTTCACATAGACATCTTGTTTTACATTATTGCTATTAATAAACATATGCAGTAGCCTACCATATTGCAAGTCTAATAAGCTAGCACAAGCTGCAAGCAAGCTAACCATTGTATTTTGATCAGGCATTACTCCTTCATTTCCCATTTTTTTGAAAAGTTCCAATGCATTCGTTGGTCGTTTCGCCTTGACATAAGCATGAATCATCAAATTCCACAAGCCAACATCCTTGTCAATGATCTGATGAAAGATTTTGATACCCAAATCTATCAAACCTATCTCAACATAGCCATTGATCAAAATAGTATAAGAAACAACATCTTTCCAATGATCCAATTCATCAAACACCTTTAATGCTGAATCCATTTCTTTGTACTTAGTATACATATTCAATAGCGCATTATTTACATTCAATATGGATCCAAAACCCATCTTTATAACAAAATCATGAACAACTCTTCCAAACTCTAATTTAGGCTCTTGTACACAAGCTGACAATAGAATCACCAAAGTTATATTATCAGCTCTAACATTTTCACACATCAGCCTCTTAAAAAAAGCCATAATTTCAATTATTGAATTTGAACTTGTAGTATAAGCACCCATGATCGTATTCCAGCTAGCTATGTCTCTTTTAGACATTTTATCAAACAGGAAGCGAGCATCAGTAAATTGTGCAAGAAACCCGTAAAAATGAAGAAGAGAATTGGCCACATAAATGTCACAATCTAGGCCTGTCTTTATTACATGGGCATGCAATTGTTTACCATTAGGAATCGAAGATAGACGGCAACAAGCTTTGAGAAGAGCAGGGTAGGTGTAATTATCAGCGAAGTTTGAGTTTGAGCCAATTTTGATGAAGTAGTTGTACGCAAGAACGGCTTTAATGGGTGTGGGGCTTTGAGAGTAAGCTCTGATAAGACAATTGCATGTGGGGGTGGGATGGGTGAGAGAGAGACCAGTGGTGATGGTTTGGGCAAGAATTTGATCATTGAATTTGAAATTATTGGATTTTTGTTTGAGGAAAAGAAGAATTTTGAGCAAGTGCTTACTGTACATCACCTAATTTTATGATTTTGGTGGTGGTTGTTGGAGAATTGTGAAATGCATGGAAGTGGAAAGGTAAAGGAACCATTATCGCTTGCCCAACATTACACTGTAGAGGAAGTGTGTGTCCCATTTTCTGAAAGTCACCATTGCCAAACTTAAGATTTTTATGATTTTTCTTTGTTTTATCTTTTAACTCCCAATTCTTTACACAAATTCTATTAACTCGTAACTTGTTTTTAAAAGAAATTTATTTGACTGGGATTCTTGAAATTTTGATTTTTTTTTTCCTGGCTCAAATAATCAATTGAAGTTTTTGAAAATAATATCATTTTTTTTTTCTCAGTAACTCTAAATAGTTCTTAAATTAGGAACGCCATTACACACACCTTCAAATGTCCGAGGACTCCAGCGACAATCTTTTTTTTTTTTTTTTTTTTTTTTTTTTTTTTTTTTTGCCATTTACACACACCTTCAAATGTCCGAGGACTCCAGCGACCAATCTTTTTTTTTTTTTTTTTTTTTTTTTTTTTTTTTTTTTGGTGTTTTTATCAATTGGTCTGAAGACTGATTATAAGAGATAAAGAACTAAGAATTACTACAATCGGATACACATAATAAATATCAGAAATTTGTAGCCTTTTGCAGTACATATTAAGATCCATGGACATCACATCTAGTTAGCCGTTAGATTTGTGAGTCCATCTTATTTCTTTTCTCCCAAATGTGTGTTGTGTATTCGATTTTTGTGATTTTAATTTTCCTATTTCGTAGAATTGGCCTTCGAAGCAATTGGTAAAAATAAAAATTAGGAATGATATTACTTAATATATGTTTTTATCATAGGTCTAATTATCAATTTTACCTGAAACTTTTTAAGTAGTTATAAATTTATCATAAATTGATTTATGTATTCGCAGCACTTTAAACTTATTAAATTAGTTGCAATTATTTATTTTGAGGGTGTAATTACAGCCTAAAAGTGAATCAAAACACCTTAAACTTGCCGATATTTTGCAACCGCACCTTAGAAGCAAATTAAAGTTATAATTTTAGTTAACGGCTTATTCGGCAATACTAGCTCTTTTAGTAGCTGTTAGCGGTTTTATGAGCTGTTAGCTGTTTTAATAGCCGTTAGCGGTTAAATATTAGTTGTTAGTAGTTTATATAACTGTTTAGATTAAAAATATTCGGTAAAAATAGTTATTTGATTAGTCGTTGAATTTAAAATGAATAAAATAAAATTAAGAGATAAGAAGTAGTATACAAGTAGATTGTATGACAAAATCCAATCCAAATTAAGTAATTGTATTTCTTTTAATCTAAATAAAAACTTATACTTTAATATTATATAGATAAAAAAAAATTAAAAAAGTACAAATATATAACGAGCATAGTTAACGTAAAAATTAAAAAAGTACAAATATATAACGAGCATAGTTAACGTGCAAGGCACATTATAAAAAAAGACTAGTTAATGATAAATATAAGGATGATATAAGTTAATTAAGGACATAATTGTTAAAAAATTTTAATCAAAAAATAAAAACACTATACACGTTCGATGCATTAACGTTTTAATAAATGATATTTTATCTACTAACAGCTATTTTATATACTAATATTTTATCGAACGATATAATTTATAAAAATAAATTTTCAACACAGTTAAAACACTAAATTCTTCCTCAAATATTGTTGCCGAACATAGCCTAAGAGAATGTAAAAGTGGACTACGTGAAAATCAATACCCGAAATGGATTGATTGAATTAAAGGAGAAATAAGCGGTATAATCCATCTATTCAAACAATAAACAAGAAAGAAAAAAAAAAAAAAGAAAGATTGTGATGGGAGCGGGTATAAAGCGGAAACAATCCTTATCGAAACCATATGAGGTAAACTAAAAACATTATCGAACAAATCAATAAACTGATCTCTTGAAGCGCAGAATCGCTCACCGGTCTTCTTTCCAGAAAATCGCTCACCGGTCTTCTTTCCAGATATCTTGGAGTCACCCACGATCTTCTGCAGTAATCCCTAACTATCTCTGTTTTGGAACTCTCTGAGTGGCAGAGAATAGAATAACGTGCGTATCTCTTTATTCTTAGCGTTTTGCAATCTTATATTAAAAAACCTCTCTTCGATAGGAAGATATTTTTTTAATATAAAATAAATTAAATAAAAAATTATTTAATTAAAAATAATAATTCAATTAATTTTAAAACTAAATTTAATTATCTATTATTTAATACCACCCTTAACTTTCCAAATAATTAGGGCACTAACAGGGACGCAGGAATTAAAATAAATTCAGGCCTACTAATTATAATAAGAACCTATTGTAGACCAACATATTCTTATTATAAATTAATCATGAATTATTCCACTAAAAAACTCAATGACTTGAACTCCTTATTTATTTACAATTCCACACATAATTAAAATAATGTTCCCCACGTTAAGATTTACAGAATCCTTCATTTAAATAACTTACTGAAATTTATGTTAAATCACAAATATTAACTTTAAGATTGTGTCGCTCAACTTATTTCATGTGTCGGATTCAATATCCACCTGTAGGGTTTACACTATGAACCTTATAAGCTTACTTAAAGTTGCATCATCAATCTCTAAACCGAGACATGGATTTTATCATCTAATTAATATTTCACAAACACAAAATATCTTTGCCCAATTCAACCGAGAATTATTTATTCCAATTAATGAAACTCAACCTTTAATGAATCAAGCAACAAGACAATCATTGTTTGCTCATATTAAAAATTAAATCAAGATTAAGAACAATAAACATTTTCTAATGTCCTAGAGATATGTTTAAAGTCGAATACTAAACATCCATTTTCTACTTGGTCAATTAAATTACTACAAAATGTACTAAATCACAATATTGTTCATATTGCTAATAACATTTTATTTAATGCAAAATTTCCCAATTATTTCCAATTAAATACAAAGAAATAATCGTCAATAGAAAATCATTCATAGCTATACTATTACATATGCATGGTTAATAGTATATCTCTATCAATTTCCCACTTAGACTCATAACCATGCATCAATAACTTTAACTCCCATTCCTTCTACATGACTGTTAAAAGCCTTTGCTGGTAAGCTTTTTGTAAAAGGATCTGCCAGGTTGTTTTCCGATGCAATCTTTGTCACTACCACATCTCCCCTTTGAACCATGTCTCGTATCAAATGATACTTCCTCTCAATGTGTTTTGCCCTTTTATGGCTCCGTGGCTCCTTTTCGAGTTTGCAACTGCCCCACTATTATCACAATAAAAGTGTAATAGCAATTGCACTGAAGAGCAATTGCACTGAAGAAACTACGCCTAGATCCATAAGGAAGTTCCTAAGCCATACAGCTTCCTTTGCAGCTTCAGAAGCTGCCACATATTCAACTTCCATGGTGGAGTCAGCAACACAAGTTTGCTTAATACTCCTCCAACTTATGGCTCCACCTCCCAAGACAAAAGCATTACCAGAGGTTGACTTCCGAGAGTCCTTATCAGTCTGAAAATCCGAATCTGTATACCCAATGGGTACAAGATCGTCAGATTGATAAACTAACCTATAATCCCTAGTCCTTTTCAAGTACTTGATAATATGCTTGACTGCAGTCCAGTGTTCTCGCCCAGGATTAGATTGAAATCTGCTAACCATGCCAACAGCAAAACAGATATCAGGTCTGGCTGGTACACAACCTTGGCATACATAAGGCTTCCAACTGACCAGAAGCATATGGAACTGCTTCATGTTCTCTATCTCCTTCAGGTGTCTTTAGGACATTGGTCCTTAGATTTTTGGTCCTTAGATAGAGTGATTCCATGTCTGAAGGGAAGAAAACCCTTCTTGGAATCCTGCATGCTGAAACGAGCAAGAATGGTATCAATAAAAAGTGCTTGAGATAAGCCAATCATCCTTTTCTTGCGATCTCGCATAAGCTTAATCCTAAGAATATGAGCAGCCTCTCCCAAATCCTTCATATCAAAACGTTGGGACAGCCAATCTTTGACAGAATTCAACATACCTACACAATTCCCTATAAGCAGAATATCATCCACATATAGTACCAAAAAACAACCTTACTACCATTCCATTTCTAATACACACAAGACTCATCATGACACTGATCAAAGCCAAAACTTTTAATCGCTTGGTCAAAACAAGTATTCCATGACCTAGATGCTTGTTTAAGCCCATAAATGGACCTATTCAATTTGCAAAGCAAATTTTCTTGTCCATTGTTAACCTTCTGGTTGCTTCATATAGATACATTCATCAAGACTTCCATTTAGGAAAGCTGTCTTGACATCCATTTGCCAAATCTCATAATCATGCCAAATCTCATAATCATAATGAGCTGCAATGGATAAAAGAGTTCTAATAGACTTTAGCATGGCTACCGGCGAAAAAGTTTCCTCATAATCGATCCCTTCTTTCTGAGTAAACCCTTTCGCAACAAGCCTTGCCTTCTAAGTTTGCACTTTACCGTCTATACCCCTCTTTTTCTTATACATCCACTTGCATCCGATGGGTTTAACCCCTTCAGGTGGTTCTACAAGTTCCCAGACTTGATTAGAGTACATAGACTCCATCTCAGATTTCATAGCTACAAGCCACTTATCAGCATCTTTACATCTTATCTTGTAGTGCCTTCAATCGTAAACAGACAGGTTCAATATTCACTTCTTCAGGGATTCTATCAAAAGCTTCTCCCAAAAGTGTATATCGAACCGGTGGTCGTCTAATTCTCCCACTACAGACGAAGTACTACAGGTTCTGCAATCAACACCTCATCTTGCTGTGGCTGTTAAAGCGGCAAGTCCATGACTGCGTGAGAACTACATCTTGATTCATGTTCTGGAAACTTCAAAATGTCTGTCATTCCACCAGGAGGCAATGAAATGTTAGAAGCCCCAACATTGTGCTGCTGTATATTTGGATCAACAGCTTGCCCACTTTCAGTTTCTACATAACTCCCACTACTTCAGGTGGTAGTGAAATGTTAGGTACTGAATATTTCAGGCTGATGTTGATTTACTGGTCGACTAACATTTTCTTCCACTACGGATCTAGGCAAACTGAACTGTCAGCTTCCCCCAAAAAACCATTGATGGATTTAGTCGTTGTTGTTCTAGATGGAAAGGGTTTCTAGTTTGGTATATTTTCTCCTCTCAATTCCCTACAAGGCTAATCGAACTTTTTGGAATATGTTTTAATATAGTCTTCCCTCAAGATAATGTGCATTGGTGCTAACATTGGTGCTAACAATGACCGTTTTATCTTGAGAACTATAAAATAAACCACCTTTCGTTCCTCTAGGATATCCAATAAAGAAGCATAAGTCTGTTTTTAATTCCAACTTATCTGCTTTCCCTTTCAGCACATGGGCTGGACAACCCCACATCCGAACATGTCTTAGACTTGGCTTTCGCCCAGCCCAGTCCACAGTTCTGTAGGAGTTTTAGGTACTGACTTAGATGGAACCAAATTCAGAATATATGTTGTTGTTTCTATGGCATACCCCCAAAACGAAATGGGCAAATCTGAATAACTCATCATTGATCTAACCATATCCATAAGCGTCCTATTTCTTCTTTCTGCTACACCATTATGTTGTAGCATACCAGGTGTAGACAACTGTGAAGTAATTCCTTATTCTGATAAATAAGTAATGAATTCTCTAGAGAGGTATTCGCCACCACGGTCAGACCGTAACGACTTGATATATTTTCCATGTCGTTTCTCCATTTCTGCCTTGAACTCTTTGAATTTCTCAATGACTTTCTCAAAGCATTTAGACTTACGGCGCAACAGGTAAATGTATCCATATTTTGAGAAATCATCTGTGAAAGTCACAAAATACTCAAAACCACTCCTAGCTTGGACACTCATTGGACCACACAAATCAGAATGAATTAATTCAAGTACATCATTAGTTCTATTACCCTTTATAGGAAAGGCCTCTTAGTCATTTTACCTTCTAAACAAGATTCACAGGTTGGTAGTGCCTCCACTTTCAATGAACTCAATGGTCCATCCTTGACCAACCTAGAAATCCTAGAAATCCTATCTAAATTAATATGACCCTTAAATGCCACAAATAGGTATGACTAAATTCAATAGGACGTTTTCTTTTCAATGGAACAATGACATCAAAGTTATTAACTTTAGAATTAGGAATTTGCAGTTCAGGTGAAACTTTGAGAATAAAAAGATCATCAATCATTGATCATTGAGCCTAGGAACATATCATTTGTTTTCTAAATTTAATAACCCGACAGGAATCATCATAAAATTTCACATCATAAAATTCATTAAAACAAACCGAATATCCATTCTTGCTCAAACTAGAAACTGAAATTAAATTCCTTCTAATTGAAGGTACATATAAAACATCCTTCAAAAACAAAGTTCTATTATTCTCAAAATTCAAAGAAACATTTCCTATAGCTAGAACTGCAACTTTTGTGCCATCTCCCAGAAAAATGCTTACATCTCCTTTATTTAAAAATGCTTACATCTCCTTTATTTAGCTGACGAGTTACCTGAAACTGCTGCAATGAATTGCAGACATGATTAGTGGCTCCAGAATCTACACATCATTGGAGTGTAGTCAACACCGCTAAGCAAGTTTCAACTATCAGCATATAAAACAGAGACATACCTTGCTTCTTCTTGGCTAACCATGTTGGAAATTGTGACTTCCAGTGCCTAGGTTGCTTGCAATGAAAACACTTACCCTTAGGCTTTTTCACAGCAACACTTACACTAGTAGATGCAGCACTTGTTTTAGGCTTAGCCTTGTGAGCATTTTTCTTCTTCTTACCCTTGTTCTGGGCAGAAGAAGAACCTCGCTCAGAACGCTCGCTCAACATTAAGCACAACAGGTGCAGCTCCTTGCTTAATGATAGTCTCAGCAGCCACCAGCTGCATTCAGCAACTTAGACAGAGTGAAATCCATCTTAATTACAATGTTTATAGGAGTTGCCAAACGAAACTGCTGAAAACTGGCTGGCAAAGTGTTCAAGATCATTTCTATCTGTGTAGCATTGTCAACCTCAGCACCAAGAACCTCCATGTTATTCAGAAGACTCATCATCTTCAAGACATGAGTTCTAACTGGGGTCCCCTCCTCCATTTTGGAAGTAAGAATCTCCCTCAGTGCGTTTTGCCTTGCTGCACTAGTTTGATCTCCAAACATCTCCTTGAGATTTTCGAGCATGTCAAAAGCTGTGTCCATCGTCTGATGCTGATGTTGCAAAACATTTGGCACAGAAGCCAAAATGTAACATCGCGCCATCTCATCAGCTTTAACCCATTTCTGGTAAGCTCTGGTGACCTCCTCAGAGGCACCCTCACCGGGTTTTTTAAGCTCTGGTGACCTCCTCAGAGGCACCCTCACCGAGTTTTTCAGGACAAACTTCAGTAAGCACAAACTGATACTCCTCAGCAGTAAGCAAAATGTCCAAATTCCTCTTCCAGTCAACATAGTTTGGACCCTCAAGTTTATTTTGGGTTAAGATGTTTGCAAGGGGACTGAATGATGCCATTTCTATATCATGCATTAAACAAAATTAGCATATCAATAATAAACATTGAATAAATATCAAAATTGCAAACATACAACATTGATATCAAACAAATTCAAAAGAAAAAAAATACACATTCACAACATTCAATACATTCATGAATAGCAACCTCGATGGGAGAATTCAACCAATCACATGTTTTGCATATTATAATTAGATAAGACCGGCACATACTACTCGATGGGAGATAGCATGCCTCTTAAATTAACATTAATGTGTGAGAAAATATTACATCTGATTCATGTCACTAATTAATTTACTCAGATGGAGAGTTAAATCAATACAAACAAATTAGACTAGTTCAGTAATTATATTAAAACATGACATCTTCCATGGGGAAGAAATGCAAATAATTATAACTAGAAAGTAATAAAAAACCACTCACAAATTAATTCATATAATTAAAATAAATTAATTATAATCAATTATAATCAAAATTGCAAAATAATAATATTTTTAAAGACAATTTTTTGCAAATAAAATTAACATTTTTGGTTGAAAATGTTTAAAAATTTAGTGTTCTGGTCTATTTATTTGCAAAAATATTAAAAGATTCTGGGGTTTATCTTGGCAAAAACAGAAAAATTCTGGGCCATTTTCGCAGTTTCAGAACTTTGTTTTGGACTAATTTCTGCATAAAACATATTGGGCAAAATTGCAAAAACCGAAAATAGTCTATGGCAATTTTTTAATAAAATCAGAAACAATCAGGGTTCCAATTTAATAATTTAAAATAACTCCAGGGGGGCCAAAGTCTAGGCAATTTTAATAAAACCAAAAACAATCAGGGTCACTTTATAATTTAAATAACTCCAGGGGCCAAAACGGAATAACTGATACTTTCTGGGTCAAAATGTAAAAAATTAAAGTCCAGGGGTTAAAATATAATAAACAGAAAGATTCAGGGTCAAAAAATAAAAATAAAAACTTAAAGATCAAGGGTCAAAAATATAAAATTTAAAAAAATTGAGGGACCAGACGGGAATTTTGGCAAGCAGTAGCTGCTTCGTGAGCCCTAGCCGCCGCTACCCCTTTTCCCTTCAACCTCCATTTACTGATCTTTTCCTTTTTTTTTTTTTCCGTCTTTTCTTGCCCCTCTCCTCTTCATCGAAACAAAACCCAAAATATTAATATATATATCCAAAATATTTTTTTTATTTCTTTTTTTTTTTTATATTAATGCCCATTAAAAACCACAGTTTCAAAAACAAGGGTTGTACCAGATACTGCACTTTTGTGCTACTGTCCTTCAAAACCTCTTGAAGCTCTCTTGTAACCATGTACCAATCAAACAATCAAAACAGATTATAGATACACGATTGAAACATGACAAAATAGCCACCATCATACAGTTTCAGTTTTCGTATGGCTCCTGATTATCAATTGATGGGGGCGGGTATAAAGCGGGTATAAAGCGGAAACAACCCTTATCGAAACCATATGAGGCAAACTAAAAACATTATCGAACAAATCAATAAACTGACCTCTTGAAGCACAAAATCGCTCACCGGTCTTCTTTCCAGATATCTTGGAGTCACCCACGATCTTCTGCAGTAATCCCTAACTATCTCTGTTTTGGAACTCTCTGAGTGGCAGAGAATAGAATAACGTGCGTATCTCTTTATTCTTAGCGTTTTGCAATCTTATATTAAAAAACCTCTCTTCGATAGGAAGATATTTTTTTAATATAAAATAAATTAAATAAAAAATTATTTAATTAAATTTAAATTAAAATAAATATCAAATTATTTTAAAACTAAATAATTTAATCTATTATTTAATACATCCCTTAACTTTCGCTAAAGTAATTAGGGCACTACAGGGACCCCGCAGGAATACAAATAAATCAGTGGCTACTGAATTTAATAAGAACCTATGTAGACCAACATAGTTTCTTATTATAATTAATCATGATTATTCCACTAAAAAACTCATGGACTGAACTCCTTATTTATTTTTACAATTCCAGCAACACTAATAAAATAAATGTTCGCCCCCATCGTTAAGATTTACAGATGCCTGTCATTTAAATAACTTACCTGACAATTTATTTTAAATCACATAATAACTTTAAGATTGTTCGCTCAACTTTATTTCATGTGTCGGATTCAAAATCCACCTGCAGGGTTTACACTATGAAACCTTATAAGCTTACTTAAAGTGCATCATCAATCTCTAAACCGAGACATTGATTCTATCATTAATTAATATTTCACAAACACAAAAAGCTTTGCCCAATTCACCGAGAATATTATTCCAATAATGAAACTCATCCTTTAATGAATCAAAGCATAAGACAATCAATGTTTGCTCATATTAAAATAAATCAAGATTAAGAACAATAAACATTATTTCTAATGTCTTAGAGAATATGTTTAACAGTCATTACTAAAGTCAATTACTAAAACAATCCTTCTCTACTTGGGGTCCAATTAAATACATACAAAAATGTACTAATCACAATTATTGTTCATAATGCTTAATAACATTTTATTTAATGCAAATTTCCAATTAAATACAACGAAATAATTGTCATTAGAAAAATCATTCATAAGCTATAACTAATTACATATGCATAGTTAAATAGTATATCTCTATAGATCTAATCACAATTATTGTTCATATGCTAATAACATTTATTTAATGCAAATTTCCAATTAAATACAACGAAATAATTGTCAATAGAAAATCATTCATAGCTATACTATTACATATGCATAGTTAATAGTATATCTCTATCAGATTGGACCTCAGATTTTAAAATTCAGCTAATTTTAAGACGCAAAAACAGTGAATGAGGCAGTACTAAATAGGTGATCCTTCTGCTAGTTACCATTTAATTTCCTACAAGAGAGAGATAATAATCTAGACTATAAAACTTTTATCATTGCTTCACTAAATCATACAATCCTTAAACAAGTAAACATAAACAAAATACTATAACAATTTTATAATAAATATTATAAACAAAGAGATGATCTTCTTGTGGATTCTTTATCTAGAATTCAGCTTGAAGTTGTCTAATTACAGACTTGTCAACCTGGAAAGCCTTGGCAAGAACATCAGATGGATTAGACCCAAATACAGCAATAATTTAAATAATAATATTTTACACAGATCATAATTATTAGTTTTAAAAAGTCTTGAGTGATAACATACCGGTTGTTGGGAATACATATTAGGCATGTGAGAAGAGTTCTCGAGTTCGATTTCCACTGTACATACCTGCGGGAAGGGTGAAGAGTCTTAATTGTATCTAAACCCCGAGCCGAATTAGGCGGTCTTTAGCAAAATGGTCTGAATACTGGTGATTTACACAAAAAAGTCTTGAGTTATAAAAAATATATAATAAATATCAATTTAATTTAGCAAAGTAAAAATAAATATAAAAATAGTGGATAATTGCAAGAAAAATATACGATGGAAACGCAAAAGTAAATAAAACTAACTTGACTACTTGATCTATGGTCGCATCCATATGCCAAACCAGTTCTTTAAAATTTTCTGTAATTTGTAATGTTTTGATATCTCCGCATTTTAAACTAAACACAAACGCTTAACCACTAATACAAGGTCTAGTGGAACAACTACTAGTCCATTTAGCAGTTACAGTATCTGGCGATGGAGAGAATAGAATATTCTTCAACGGGGATTCATCATCAGAATCTGCTGGTGGTGAAGGTGGTGGCAGAACATTCCTCAATGTTTTATGATCATCATCTTTTACTACCTCTTCAATGCTTTGAATTCTCTTTAATTCCTCTAAAACCTCATCCATTGTAGGTCTCATTTCCTTGTCTAGTTGCAAACATCGAAATGCTAGCTCCGCTACCAAAATAGTCATTCTTTTAACTTTTTCATTCGAATTACACCCAAAAGATTTGTCAATCAACTCATCGAATGCACCTTGCTGAATCTTGGTTATTGCCAAGTTAGCCAGATTAATCTCCAGTTGATGCCTACTAATATCAACAGCCGGCATTGATGATAGTAACTCAATCAACACAACTCCGAAGCTATAAACATCACTTTTATTAGTAAGCTGATAACAGAGGTGATATGCAGGATCAACGTAGCCTGGCGTCCCTTGCGGAGCAGTTGAAACATGAGTAACATCATTGGGAAACAACCTGGAAAGTCCAAAATCAGCAACTTTGACACATAAATTGTTGTCAAGAAGAATGTTGTTGGTCTTAACATCTCGATGAATGACATCAGAAGCATGAAGGTAAACCAATGCACTTGCTGTTTCGATGGCAATTCTCATTCGGACAGTCCAATTGAGAGGACTAGATTTGGCTTGATCACCATGGAGATGATCGGAGACTGTGCCATTAGAGATGTATTCGTAAACAAGTACGAGTTCGCGGCTGTGGCGTGAAGTGCACCCATAAAGGGATACAAGATTTTTATGGTGCAGCCGTGTCAAGATTTCTATTTCATTCTGGAATTGCTGAACACTTCTGTTCTTTCTCTCATATAGGCGCTTGACTGCAACTTCACGCCCATCCACAAGTTTTCCTGGTTGAGATTTATCAAAGAATTACATTACTCTAGTAGCTGATTCAATTAATTGCTATGCATTGTTTTTGGTTAAATAAATATGGTCATGAAATGTCTTCTTACCATAGTATACAGTTCCGAAACCTCCATCTCCAAGTTCATTTTCTGATGCAAAGTTGTTGGTAGCTTCTTCGAGTTCAGTGTAGGTGAAGATGGAGACACCAAAGTAGAGATTACTCTTTTCCAAGTCAGATTTTGAGGACAGGTGAGAAGAATAGTTTGCAAGGAGTAAGTTTGAGGAAGTATCTTTTCTATAATAACGATGCCGGAACAAAAAAATCAGCACCAACATTATCAGGATAGCAGTGAATCCCAAACCTAAAATAAAGTACTTTTTAGTGTCAAATAAACACATTTCTGTTGGAAAAGAAACCTATATATGCAGAAGAAAAAAGAAATTGAGATGTGATCAAGGAAGTATAATACCTAGTCCTAGCTTGAATCCCAACCCTGAAACAGAAATTGCAAACTATTGTGTTAGATTAGACAACAAAAACTGAAAAATCCCAACACATTTGTAACTTTTTACCTTTTTTCTTTTTGGCTTCTGACTCTGAATCAATGTTTGGTCCAGAAAAACCAGTACACTCGAATTCTCCATTATGGTTGTGCACACAGTTGCCTCCTTCTAATACACACCAATAACATTCATGGTCTATATTCGCCTGAAGAAAGAAGTTAGCACTTAACATTTTGAATATGTTATCATGGTGAGTATTTTCAGTGTTTAGTGGTAGCTGCAAAATTGAACATTCAGGCATAGGATGAGGACGACTTGGCCTTGAACTTGCAGTAACATTGTTGCTGTAGAAGATAGTGAAGTTGGAACATTCTGTATAATTACTAAAATCAAAATCAGGATTTGGAGAAGATACAGAGGGTTCGCATTTATATAAGGTTATTAGATTTGGTATAAGTGGAAAAGAAGCAAAAGGAAGATGGGGAAAACTCCAGTTGAAGGATTCGCAATTCCTGGAATTCAAATCTTCTTGCAGCTCTGTGTCAGTGATTGAAATATAATTTATGAAATAGGTTTGGGAGATGTTCTTGATTTCATACCATTTTCCTGATCCCCTTGAGAGTTGAATCGTCTGAATCTCTCTTTCGCAGCCATCAACAACAAATGGACCGCACCAATAAGGACTTATTTTGTTAGTGAAAGGGAAATTAAGTTCTCGCTGTTGTCCGCAGGAAATTGCAGTGCAACCTTCGTCAGGAAAAGGAAAAACAGAGTGAAAGATTCCAAATAAGAGAACGATGAAAGAAAGAGCGGCCATCATCCCAAAACCCAATTAAAATCAAGGAAGGAACAAAACCAGCTTTGACAAGGTTTGTTATTTCATCTTCACCAAATCAACAGTAGATATCAAATACTCTATCTGCTAAACGCGTGACTTGACTTGGAACTTTGACACGGAAGACTCGCAGAAAAAACAGAAAATAGACAGTAAAGGTAAGGAAGAAATTTTAATGTTAGAATTTTTCCAAAAGAAATTTCTGTTTTTGTTTATTTTTCTTTCTTTTATTTTTTTTTCTTTGACTAGAAATAGAAATAAAGCTACGAAGCCAAATACCCAAGCCATTGCTGATCAGATCACCATCATAAGCAACATTATTTCTTATGGAACCATCTATATTCAGAGTAAACATTCCCAAAAAAAAAAAAAGAGGTGTCCATGAGCATAATCTTTGAAGGAACCGGTTTATTACTGCAACAAATGACAGAGGGAGTGAAAAGAAACCATAAAATTGTAAAACAGGTCTTCATTAATCTATATCGAATGAAGAAGGAAAAAAAAAAAAAAATACAGATGAGTTTCTAACTTCTTATATCTAATACTGACTGTACTATATCTAGTTGTACACTTGCCTGCATTAGCTCCTATACTAAGCCACATGAACTTATGCCACATCAGCATACATAGTTACATTTTTCAACTCAACAAATACTACAGCTAACTAATAATAAAATAATTAAATATACTCAACACCCTCCTTAAGCTGGTGGAGGAGAGAATTCAACTATTCCCAGCTTGGATAAAAGGAAATCGAAAGAAGCAGAAGACAAGGATTTAGTGAATATATTTGCAAGTTGATGTTGAGTATTGATGTGAGAGGTATGAATAAAACCAGCTGAAAGGTTCTCTCTCACAACATAGCAGTCGATATCGAGGTGTTTCATCTGCTCATGATACACTGGATTTGCAGCAATATATAATGCTGCCTTGTTGTCACAATGCAATGGAATTGGAAGTGAAATGGGAAGCTGTAAATCTGTCAAAATAAAACTTATCCATTTCAATTCACAAACCACAGCTGCCATGCTTCTATATTCAGCTTCAACACTAGATCTACTAACAGTGGGTTGTTTTTTTTATTTCCAAGAGATAATAGCAGGATCAAGGAAGATGCAAAAACCTGTTACTGATCGTCTAGTTTCTGTACATGATGCCCTATTTGCATCACTATAGGCATGCAACTGAAAATCACCAGATGCAGGGAAGAAAAGTCCTTTATTGGGCTTCCTTTAAAAATACTTGAGAACATGCGTTGCTGCATTCATCTGTCCAGTAAAAGGATGTTGCATAAATTTGGCTCAACTTATGCACGGTAAAGGTGATATCTGGTCTAGTCATGCTCAAATAGAGTAATCGGCCAACTAATCTCCTATAAGTCTCAGGATCAAGCATGGGAATGCCCATCTCAGCAGTGAGTTTTTGACCTTGAATGAGAGGGGTACTCACTGGTTGAGCATAAATTAGATTTGCATATGTGACTAAATCAAGAGTGAACTTATTTTGAGATAAACACATGCCATGAGAAGACCTTGCAATCTCTATTCCTAAGTACTTGACATAACCCAAATCCTTGATAGTGAACTTATTATGCAGGAAGACTTTCACTTGTTGAATTAATTCCTCATTAGCACTAGTGATCAAGCAATCATCGGCATATACTAGTAAAGCCAAGAATGTATTGTTAGAAGCTTTGAAAAACAAGCAATGGTTAATAGGCTGATTAGATAAACCCAAATTCAGTTAATGTTTGGGTGAATTCTTTTAAAGCCAAGAATGTATTGTTAGAAGCTTTGAAAAACAAGCAATGGTTAATAGGCTGATTAGATAAACCCAAATTCAGTTAATGTTTGGGTGAATTCTTTATTCCATTGGCGTCTAGCTTGTTTCAAAACCATATAGAGATCGATTCAGTTTGCAAACCTGTCTTGGAAGAGCTTAAGAATAACTCTCAAGTGGTTTCATATAGATTTCCTCTTATATAAACCCATGGAGGTAAGCATTGTGGCCAACCCTTGACAGTAGCCATAACTAAAAAAAAATCTTACCGTGACTAATTTTGCCATAGGGGAAAAAGTCTCTGTATAATCTAACCCAAACAATTGGTTATAGCCCTTGATTACCAACCGTGCCTTATACCTATCTATTTCACCATTGGGTTTGTATTTGACGTTAACAATCCATTTACTACCAATGGCTTTCTGTCCCTTTGGTAACTGAGTTAAGGACCAGGTTTGATTGGATTCCAAAGCCTTGAGTTCTTGTTACATAGCTTGGACCCAATTGTCATTACTTTTAGCTTGGTGATAAGAAGAGGGTTCATATTTTTAATACATTATGCATAAAGGCCATATGATTAGGTGTAAAAGTGATTATGTGAGGTACAAAGGAATTATGATTAGTGAAAGAAGGAATTTGGAGATTACTTGAAAGTTCTGCAGAAGTAATGTCACCATTGCTACATGTACTGACAAATGCTACAAAATCCTTGAGCGAAATTGGTTTTTGAATAATTCTTGAACTTCTTCTGAGGTTAGGTAGGGTAAGATGATTATGTTCTATTGCAATGATAGGTGAATGTGAAGTATGATCAATGTTACCTAGTGAAGGTTGAATAAGAATAGTGGTGGTATTTGTGGGTTGTGTAATATCAGTGGTTGTATTCATATCAGGTTGTGAAGTAGGAGTAATGATCTGTGATTCATATAGAGATTCCTCAATGCACGTAGGTAATACAAAGTTGAGAACATTTTGAGGGTTTGAATGATGAAAAGGGTATGTGAATTCATGGAAAGAAACATCTCTAGAATTAAAGATAATTTTATTTTGAAGATCATAAAGCATATATGTCTTTTGTTGTGGGGAATAGCCTAACAAAACACTAGGTATGACTCTTGAACTAAATTTGTTCTTGAAAGGTTTCACATTAATGGCATATGCTAGACAACCAATGACGCTAAGATAAGCATAATCTGGTTTTCTGTGATGTAATAGCTCATATGGAGATTTCCATTTCAGGTTTTCAAAAGGCAATTTGTTAATCAAATGGGTAGCTGTAAGTAACAACTCAGACCATAAGTGTTTGGGTAATCTAGATTGAAGAAGTAATGCTCTAGTAACTTGAAGCAAAGTCCTTGGTTTTCTCTCAATAACCCCATTCTGCTGGGGGCTATAGGCACAAGATTTTTAATGTAAAAATTCCCTGTTGGCTCAAGGGTCAATTTTATCTTGAAATTTTGATGATTATACAAAATAAATAAATTTAATATTCTTGCATGTGCTAATATTATTTTATGCAGAAATTATTGTTGAAAATTATTGAAAAAATGAAGTTCCTACAAATTATTGAAAAATGAGGTGTTTCCTAATTCCTACTGATTTTTTGTTGCAAAGACCCATTGAAGATTAATGAAGATATTTTATATTGGTTATTTAGTATTATAATAATAAAGTCTTAGGAGATTATTGTAGGCATGAGAGTATAATGATATTCATAAGCTACAAATGCTATTTTATCTTCTAAAATTGTTATGAAATGTTTTTGAATAAATATTTATTAGAGATATAGCAAAATTTTAGCTCTCTCTTACAGTGTTTTCCCATTTAAGATATCGTTTTGGAGTAAATAGTTCTTGTGTAGCTATTAATGAGAATTACTGCAAAAAGTATTGTTCTGATCCTAAAAAGCCTTTCATGATGTGTAACATCAGTATCTTGTTTCTGATCATCTAAATGTTAAAACTAGTTCTTTCACAACTGCCCTTTAAATCTCTAAACCTTGCAAATGTGATAAATTTAAATGTGGTCTGACAGCCTTTTGAATTAATTGAAGCCATGCTTTTGCCTTTCTTTAGTCTAAAATATGTAAGAAATTCATTGTCTCATTAACAGCAATTAATTCTTTCAGACGTTAAATTCAATGAGAGAATATTATATTTTATATAAATAATCATTTCCTCTTTCAGAAAGTTTGGGCGTCTTTTGCATAAAGTAGTAATGATCCCATTGTTCAATATTTAGATTCTTTTAAGCTTTCTTATCCCATTATCTTTCGTCTCTTTGCTTCTAATAAAAATTTTGTTAAGAGAAAGAAATTTATTAACAACATTTTTCTGTAAGAACAGATTTGATCTTTAAATTCTGTTTTCTAAAATTCGTTTTCTGTTCTTCTGCGTGTTTTATAATTTGCTTTCTCGCTCTGTCTTATGTAGAGTTTGGTAATCCTGTTGAGACAGGCTCTTTATTTGAAACTTTTTGTAATAGCTTGAGGTGAATAAGCTATGGTGCTAATTAGGATTATCAAGCGAACCTTCTCTTTGTGTGAGATTCTAATTTTGAATTTGAGTTTCTATTTCTCACAAACATGAAAGGGTTGAGGTTTGACTATGAACTCTTTGGAAAATTAGTAGGGATAATGGTTAGACTCTAGGTGTTGAATTATATTTCCATATTGTTTGGTTTGTCTCTTACTCTTGAAAAGAGATAACATAGTGGATGGATTCTCCAATATGCGATCTTGGGGTAGTGTGTGTAGGAGTTACTGTGTAGGAACCACTATAAATCCTCTGTGCTTTTATCTTCTTCTTTCTTTCCTGAGGTTAATGCTTGATTATTTTTCACTATTTACGCAACTGTTAATCTGTTTGAGAAATGCAAAGTGGTTAATGAGTTTCTGATTTTCTAATCGTGAATAAGCTTTATCTCCTGTCGAGAACACTAGAACTCTGGATTTTTTGTATTGTATTATTCAAGATTCTATGCTGTATTTATATTTTAGTGTAATTACACATTTAAAATTATAATAGTTTTTCTAATCTTGCTTAAATGCTTGTGAAACGAATTCTAAAATGCATAAACTTGTAGGTTTCCAGAGTCTTTCTAAATTTGTCTTAAGCTTGTGAAGTGTGTTTAATTCACAATATGAATGTTGTCTTTTCACAGAGTCTTCTAACTGCTATTAAAGTCTTTGTTGAAGTAGTTAAATGCGAATATACTTATCTCTCAAAATTTCTAAATTGCTTAATGCTTTGTTGAAGCAAGTTCATAAAT